CCCCCCCTGGATCGGATAAAGAGTAACGATTCAGACCGTGCGGTCCGATTGAGCCCAGGGCCAGATTACGTTTCACGACGAACGAAACTGCGGCAGCTACAACCACTGTACGACTAGTATGCGGTTATTACAGCTGAAAATGATGATGACGAGAGTTAATTCAGATCATTACATGAATTCCACATGTAACATTTTCGTTCCTAGGTGTATCCAGATGGAGAGTATATCAAGACCAATCCTCTGAGAAGTTGGATACCTTTTTGAGTAGAACCAATCAAACCACTAGGGCTTGGGTCGTTCAACTAAGCTATCCGCATTGACATTCCAAGAATACCTCACAGTGGTGTGCTCACAATCGGCCAGTTCCATTGCACGGCGAAATACTCAGTCAACAGTCCTCTATCTATATAAATATATCCTTTTACGTGTTTAAATGGTGAGAACAAGTCGCTAGAAGACTTCCGGAAAAATTGCAACTGCCAGTGTCAACCGGAAAATATACACCACATAAAAGTTAAAGGACGTATATTTCAGTCTAATTTATTGTAAAGTTATCGGGAAAGTTTAAGACTGAGTGTTGGCATGGTAGACCAACTGACACTTACTCCAAAATTTTGAAAATAAACGCGATCACATTGCGTCTGGAATTGATAATCAGACAACGGAAGCGATTCGCAGCTGGGTACAGGGGAAGAGGATGAGGATAGGCAAAGTATACGTTTTCGATTTTCTGTTCTGTGATGCTTAATTGCAAGTAAAAACGCGACGCTGACATCTGAGAGTTTTTGCATCACTTGAAACTGTCCAAAAAGTTAACAAAAATCGCGGAAAAGGAAGAATCGTTTATTAGGATTGGCGAATGAATTCGCGGTTGACGAAACTGTAGCTTTGAAATCAATATTTCACCATATATAAGAATAGCAGCAGCGAGAAAGCTACACCCACCGGGACTGCCCTTATCCTTGATACAGACTGACTTGTTTTCAGCTAATAAACGAACGGGCCGATCTTCATTGTCAAGAGTAAAATTAAATTTGCACCGTGGAGTGGAAGTCTCTTGACCTCCTGCTGGAAAGCACGCATAGCGCAGTTCAAAAATTATCGTTCAGATGTTCGGAGAAATAATCAATGCAAAAGCAGTCAAGAGAGTAATATTTTTTCAGATAAAACATGAATTCGCTGTGGTATTTTTTATTCTTATGCTGTCGGTGAAAAACCTGCCATGGTGCTTAATCAGCTGACCGATTGTGCAATGTGGAAGGAAAGAAATTGTTCACTGGACGTTTTGTACTCGATTTCCGTCATAACGTTTCGAAGTGCACAGCGAATTTGAATCCACTCAAACAAGCCGAACCAGAGAAGCTCGGGACGTGTTTGATATATTTGTACGATTTTTTGCCATTTAAACTTGAACTGGGCTCAGCTGATTGGTCAATTTCTCTCTGACTTTGAGGTTACACTGTTTAATCTAAGTTACAATGAGTGCTTTGTCCACGACTGGTTTGATCAGGTGACCAGATGCTTCCGATCAGCTTCATTCTCATCGATCGCAAAGTCCATTTATTGATTGACTGCTCTGCTACGAAATTATGACAATAACTCACGTTTCGCATAGAAAGGCGACGCCACAAGGTTTATAATCTTATTGACGCTTGCATTACTTTTCGGGAAAAAATGTTAACCAGTCAGTAAATGTCAATGAAACGCATATCTTGTGTTCCTTCAGGATGCATTTGGTGGGACAGAGTGGAATCAACATGAACTGTCTTTCAAACTGTTGACTATTTCAGACTGTTTTGTCAGCTAGAGCCAGACGCTTTTGTAATTTTTGTCGGAAAAAACAGATCGATCGCAGTTACTGTTTTTCATGACCAGGCTGCAGCAACAAAGGCAGTCGCTGCATCGATTTCGTGAAAAGAACAAATAAAAAGGCGGAAATCGATAAAATTTCTGGAAGAAGAACAGGTAATGACGTGGTCATTGATTTAACTGATTACTTTCAACCTGGCAGCTAGGTTGTCCAGAAAATGTCCTTTGTCTGGAGAGAAGTCATTGCTATTCTGATCAAAATTTTCGCTCATTCGAAGGATCCATAATTCTCCCTGAACGAAGTCAATCTCAGAAATAAAAAACGCGTTGTTAAATTATTAATATTCGTATGCATTTCGTTCCGGTTTCATTTTAGCATCTTTTTGGATCTAAAGAAAACAGAAAAACAAAAACATTAATCAGTGGAGGGTGGACCACTTACCAATCAAAGAATGAAAAAACACAGAGGCAAATATGATCCCTCATGTGACCAAACACGAACAGTTGTGAACCATAAAAACCAAAAACTATGCACACAAGAATTCTTTGGTGGTTCACATACTTTGTGGTCTGTTTAGTCAGAACGTAGCCTTCAAAAGTCATTTACAGGCAATCGGGCTATCTGGTAGTTCAGCTAATTTTATTTTGCCAATCCGCGAATGCTTGAAAAATAACATACGATCATTCTCCAAAACGGAAACCTTCCGCCCGGAAACCTCTGTAATACTTGTGCCCAATTCGTGCCGAATGTTTTACAAACAAGTGGCTTTTAGTCAACCGAATTAAATTCTCTAATACGCACCTGTTAAGGAAATAGTTTCATATTTTCGGAGTATCTAGTGAGTGAAGGCCAACAGCATTATTTGACATGAAACAAATCCTTGCGCCCCAAGCCTGTCAAGGTGCGGCTTAAGCAACAAATATATGCTATTTTCAAATAGAAATTCACTTCAAGGTCTTTGCCCTAATTTTGAGTAGAACTTAGTTTTCAAACCTGATATTTGAGCAGTAATTCAAAAGTAATTCCACATACCGGGAAAGACATCTGGAACAAGGTGAAAAGATGAATCGGTAAACAGGAGAAACCTGCTCAGAAGAAATGTCTGCTATCAGACGAGGCAAGTGAATCGGGTACTATGTAGTGGTATTTCTCTGACCCATGTTTCAACAGAACTACTTGCGTCAGCTAGTAGACGGTTTTTGACAAAAGATGCTGAAGTTAACCATGCAGACTAAAGGATCCGGGGCTATCATGACACAGATTCAGCGTTGGTATTTTGCACACCAGGGAGTTGACAAGTGGGATGAACTTCTCGTGATGAGTTCAAACGGTGGTTTAACGGAAATTGAGATGGTCCACTCGCGCCCTCAGTGGTGCTCGTACATCCAAGCTATTGCCTTCAATGCATAGCTCCCTTTCAAATCCCACCACTCAACAGTCTACCTACAGTGCTGTATTCACGCACTAAATTATCAGCTCCCACATTCAATGCGCAGCTACCTACCTCACCTCCCCGAATCATCGGTGAACGAAACGGTGGCAGCTACAACCGCTGCACGACACGTACGCGGCTATTACAGCTGACAATGTTGGTGATGATGATGACGACGATGATGATAATGATGATGATGATGATTGAGTGCAGACGGTACTGACGTATGCCGCTGTGTTGCAGTGATTACCACTGGAACCATACAGTTGATCGGTTTCCAATGTGCATTACGAATTCACTGATTCCCAGAATCTTTTACATTGGATTGTCATAAATAAATATGGTATATATTGTACAATCTTTAAGGCTGCTACAACATGACAACTATTTTGTATGGGCTTCCACCGGCCACCTCTGATAAAAGAGACATTGACTTCTAAATAACGTATTCCGTCCTCTCCAAAGGATGATCAGCCCAAAGGCCCTTTTGAAGAACAGGCTACAGGATGGCAAATTTACCTAGTTTTACGATGTTTGTAGGTAACTGCGATTTTTCGGAGTAGTGAAGTAGGCGCTATCAAAAGCATTCGCACTGCTGTTTAGCGGCTCGTTGCCGAAAAATTGTGTCCAAAATAACTGACGGCAAATCACGGGTTTGAAATCTCGGGGGATTCGTAAGATGCGCCCAGGTTATGATTTAAAGTATGTACTAAAGAGCTAAACAGTGTTGCTTGACGTTTCAACGCAGACTGACTCTACTTACAAGACGAAATTTCCAGTCTAGTAACGCGAGTCAAAGAATTTCAGTCGAAAGAATTGTCCAGATTCGTAAAATGCGTCTGTAGCAACCAAGTCACATTTTAGAACCCAGTAAAACTTTGTTTCCTCTTCCCCACTTAGATGTACGCCGAACAGATCATGGACTTTACCGATGCACGGTGTGGAACCAAGCCGGGAGAACACAAGCCACCGGCCAAGTTCTGGTTCGTTCTCCACCGGAACTCAGCATAATACCTCAAGAGACAAATTACTTTGTCGGGCACAAACCGTGGATTGCTTCTTGTCACGTCACAGGTTATCCGTTGACGCGATCACAAACAACACCACAAAACGTCGCTGAAGAAGAGACCACCCCTGGTGACCAGGGCTCAAAGCAAGCTGGTGTGAGTTCGGAAGGTTCAGCCGCGAATTCATCCGTTCAAATGAAAATTATGACGGTTGAAGGCGAACGCATGGATGGGGTGGAGATTAACCTGATAAAATATGAGGCGAACGACTTTCTAGGGTACGTTTCAACCCGATGTATTTCGCAATATACTACGTTTGTACGAATTCTTAGGTAACGTTTAAAGTGTGGGTTTATTTGACTTCCAACGGATGCTCTATCATCCTCCTGCACTTGTTTTTTTCCTTTCTGTTACTAACCCATGTTGTTTATCGTCCCGTGACGCCAAAAATCGTTCATACAAGCAGTCCCAAGGCTTTGCCGTATATGGTCATACTCCTAACGGGTTACTTGTACCCAGAAGGGTTAACTGCGTGTACCTGGATAGCACCTCTGGCGCTTAGGCGCCGTATCAAAATATCTGGCTTATCATGTTTGTCAAAACATACACCGTTTTGTGCTGCTGGATGATTTGAAGATAACTCTCCATGTAAATTCAGCGGCCACCTCAGTCGCTTTTAACTTGCGGCTCTTGATGCCTAAGAAAGTAGATGACAATCATACTCGTTCCAACTCAGGTCACTGTTCGCCTTCTACATTTGCTGACTAAACGCACGAACTCAAGGCCATATCATCGCTAAGCGCCAGCAAACACAGTTTAAAACAAAAATTTTGTTATCGGTATCATAAAACACCCTGGAATCCTATCAACCTCACGGTTGAACTCAGGTGACGGGCGGAAGTATGCATCCTCCTGAGCTTACAGCCATGGGAAATATTCAGTCCAGGATAGTGATAGGCGTTCCGTTGCGCTGACGGGTCCTGCCCGGACGACAATCAAAAAGTGATCTGACAGACTGTTAGGATAAAAAGGGTGAATCATGTGGTTGTGGGGTGTCTGAAAACGCCAAAATGGAGAAGCCGTTTGTTCTCTATGTAGAACGCAAACACAGAGCCGGAGATGAAAGTACAGAGAAAACAAACGTGGAGTGGACCACCATTTAGAAAGTGCGCACAAATTTATTTATTTATCTGTCTATCTATCATCTATCTATCTATCTATCTATCTATCTATCTATCTATCTATCTATCTATCTATCTATCTATCTATCTATCTATCTATCTAACTATCTATCTATCTATCTATCTATCTATCTATCTATCTATCTATCTATCTATCTATCTATCTATCTATCTATCTATCTATCTATCTATCTATCTATCTATCTATCTATCTATCTATCTATCTATCTATCTATCTATCTATCTATCTATCTATCTATCTATCTATCTATCTATCTATCTATCTATCTATCTATCTATCTATCTATCTATCTACATCATCATCACCATCATCATCGACAGCATGACATCAGTGTTCAACACCGATGCTTCATTGCCGTACACACGTCTATCAGGGTATTCAGAAAACCTTGTTCCACATCGCTGCTGGTGAATAAATGAACGAGTGTCCGATAATGTACAACGTTGCAAAGTGAGCGTTCAGTCGAGCAATACCGCCAGAGGATCCGTATCATTTCGCCAATGCCTTCGCGACTGACCAAAATTTCCCGTTCTTGTTTGAAGCGACATGGCCGCACTGATATTCTCCATGATTAAGTAAATAAAAGTATGTGTTTCCAAACCGCTGATTTAACTTTCAATTGTTTGTACTGTGCATAAAATAGGGTGCATTTTTTTCGGAAACATGTTGGCCTAATCAATCCGAATAAAAGCGGTGAATAGGGACGAGATATGGGAATAAACGGGAAGAAATCCTAGATCATACGGCCACTTGTCAAACCATGTTATGCATCAAAGAATCAAACGTTTAGCTGGGCCAAAACGAAAAAAAGTTGCCCAGTGAACTTCTATAACTTGCAATTTTTGTCCCGAAAATCTCGTTTCCAGAATAAACGCAACCTACGAAGTGCATATGAATCAACGGTTTGGAAACGAAGCCGTGATCCGATGCGAGTACACACATACCGACAATCGTGTAGTCTATCAGGAGCTGTTCCTACGCGAAGCAACAAAACCACCGGCGCCGAACGTGAGTTTTGCCATGGTAACTTTATGTCGTTGCTTTTGAATGTCACAATGCAATGCGTTATCCAACCGCATGTTATTGAGGTCCCATTTGGAGGTATGGTGAAGAAAAAACTATTTGACTTACAACAATATGGAATTCAACCAATCGTATTACAAAGCCGTCATACTGTGAGAATGCGACTGACATCAAAACGCGTGTAGACAATTAAGCGAACAGTTTAACCTAGTTTGACACAAGTTGTGGTCAAATACGATCGTGTGTGTGTCGATAGACACTCAGTTTACGATGCAGTCTCATAAGGCTGAGGACTCCAGAAAACTGAAGCAAAACCGGAACTGTGGTATTTTGTGTCTGCGCACTGAAAGCACTATAGGTATATTTGCTAATTTGTTTCCCAACTTCCACGGTTTTGGTTAAAAATTCCGCATTCGATTGAGTACCTGGTTGCGGAGAGAAGAAACTCAAAGCAAGCTTTGCCAAAGCTGTGAGAATTAAGGAGAAACTAACGGGAAAGTTGAATGGGCTCGGGAGGTTAGACTGTAGTATGCAGAAACGATCGCCCGATGGGGTTACTTTCAACCCTGTGTGTCACTCCACTTCATGTCATGGACTGGTTTGGATATGCCGTCCAGAACAATTCTGCTGGCTCAGTTTGCACGGCTAGCCGGATCTCACAAACCGAAATAGAGCAAGAAACGGTTTTGACGTGGCATGTAAGGATAAATTTGTGTAGATGACACGGGCTGGGAACCAGCTAAAGATGTGAAAACACGAAGTCCAATACAACGTCCTCAGTTTTGTGTATCCCGAAGGCATTTCACACAATCAGACTATTCCTAGCCGGCTGCTGATTTTTATGCAATCTTTCCAGATCACTCTGCTTTGTGCCGGTCCAAAGGCTGTGGTGTTTGGTGTGACCAATCCACGAGTGCACGAGGGCAGCCTTCTTACCGAACGTATAGTCACTCAGAAAGTGATATTCGCTCCGGCCAAAGTGAGTTTTCTGATACGAGTTTTGCCGAGGTTGCTTGATTTGACCCCTAATATTGTCATTCGTTTCTGAAGAGCATGGTCATTAACATAAAAAGTGAATGCAAGCGACGAATGCGATAAGGTAGAAGGAGAATATGAGGTAAAAAGAGAAACCTCTCTTTCGAATTCATGCCACCCATAGTTAAGTCAGATGAGATAAATCCCAAAGTATGTAAAGATTTTGGTATGGAAACGCACGTCCAAAGACCAACAACCGAAGCATGTTGGATGCTCTTCAAGGCGCGGTAGGCGCTAGCACAGTCAGGACTCGCACATCAGGCACAAAGTGTCCGTCATACAAGGTATGGTGTGAGATCAAATGGCAAAAATGTACGCTCAACGCCATGTGCCACGCATAAAAGTGTCATAAGTACGCAGAGAGCCCACAATGGCAAGCAAACACAAGTCACTGACTGTGACCTTAGGAAGTCGCAGAAGAGAGCATCTCAGAAAAAAAGACGACTCTATAAAAAGACCCTAGTTCAGCTTTATTCACGTTGGTGTCACAATCAAATAGTAGGTAAATGCACACAGGTTTTCACACGATGTATTTTTTACTCTCATCTCGACATAAGAAATAAGTAGTAATAAGTAGAACCTGGCAATAAGTAATCGAACACTTGGGAGCACCTCGGACTCAACAGCAGCATTCAAACTTCCATTGCGTTACCAACAAACATCCTGTGAGCCTTTTAGAAGAACTGAAGAATTAAAAACCCAGAACTACCTACGTTTTTGCAAGCCCGGAAACTCTGTGGGTAATAGACGCCCATATTGTATCTGCACAGCGGTTTCATCTATTACATTCGCTTGAGATGTGCAACTGTAGATTCATGAGTTCAGATTGTTCAGGCGCTAGGGTCACAACGTGCGAAGTCATCATCATCATCATCATTATCAGCTGTAATAACCGCGTACTCGTCGTACACTGGTTGTAGCTGCCACAGTTT